ACAGTGTACTAGAGTCCTCTTTTCTCCACACCCTCGTCAGCACTTGTTGTTTGATGATTTGTTGATGGCAGCCATTTAAGATTTTTATATATACATATATATATAATTTTTTTTTGAGAGAGTGGAAAGGTGGGAAATTGAGAGAGAGAGAAAGAGAGAGAGAGAGAGAGAGAGAGAGAGAGGCATCCATATGAGAGACATATTGATTGATTGCCTCCTGAACAATCCTGACTGGGGCCGGGGATTGACCTGCAACCCAGGTATGTACCCTTGATGGGGAATCGGACCCGTGCTCCTTTGGTCCTCAGGCTGACGCTCTAACCACTGAGCAAAATTGACCAGGGCCTGTCTTATGTTTTATTTTATTTTATTTTATTTTTTTATTTTTTTATCCTCACCCGAGGACATTTTTACATTTTTTGTTCAGAGTGGGAAGGAGAGAGTGGAAGAGAGAGAGAGAGAAACATCGACGTGAAAGGGACACATTGAGTGGCTGCCACGCACACAACCAACCAGGGCAGGGGACAAACTGCAACTGAGGTACGCGCCCTTAGTGGGAACTGAACCCTGGTCTCTCTGGACCGCAGGCCGACGCTCTAACTGCTGAGCCAAACTGGCCAGGGCTTATGTTTTATTTTAAGTATGTTTTTTAAAATTGATATTTAGAGAAACAGGAAGGGAGAGGGGGAGAGAGAGAGAGAGAGAAACATTAATGAGAGAGAAGCGTTGATCAGTTGCCTTCTGTATGCATGCACCCTGATTGGGGATTGAACCTGAAACCTGGGCATGTGCCCTGACTGGGAATCAAACCAGCAACCATTCGATGCATAGGGCAACACTCAACCAACTGAGCCACACTGGCCAAGGCTGTCTCATGTTTTTTATATGTGTGTCTCTCCCCTGAACAAAGTTGAGAAAATTATCATTATTCTAATCACCTAATGACTTAAAAAAAAATGTCTGGAATACTTTCTTTTATTTTTTCCTGGTTAATATTACCCCAGCTATGTGCTTTTATTTATTTATTTTTCATTTTTTAATTTTTATTCTCATCCAAGGACATTTTTCCATTTTTTTGTTCAGATAGAGTGGGAGGGAGGGAGAGAGGGAAACATCGACATGAAAGGGACACATCAAGTGGCCACCATCCGCACAACCCAGCCAGGGCCAGGGACAAACTGCAACCGAGGTACGTGCCCTTAGCGGACACTGAACTCCGGTCTCTCTGGACCGCAGGCCGGCGCTCTAACCGCTGAGCCAAACCAGCCAGGGCTAATCACCTAATAACTTTTAAGTACTTACTGTTCTGTGTTATTTACAATTATTTCCTCCTTTCAAACCTCACAACAACCCTGTGAAGCAGAGGTGATTTTTATTTCAGTACTTCAGGTGAGAAAACCATATATTATTTGCATCCTTTGTTTGTAAGCATTTTCTTCTACCAAATTTTTGTAAACATGAATTTCAGTGAGGACATAATGTTCTCTTTTATAAATGTACTATTGTCAATTTAGTAATCCCTTTCATTGAACATGTATGTAACTTCCAAGTTTTTGCTACTATAAAGAATATGCTTGTACATGATTCTTTTATCAGTATCTCTATTTTTTTAGGCGAGATGACACGAGGTGGAATTATGTATAAAAGTGTCTGTCTTGCCCGGCTGGTGTGGCTCAGTGGTTGAGCATTGACCCATGTACCAGGAGGTTGCCAGTTCAATTCCTGGTCAGGGCACATGCCCAGGTTGTGGGCCTGATCCCCAGTGGGGGACATATAGGAGAAAGCCAATCAATGTTCTTTCTCTCTCATCGCTGTTTCTATCTCTTCTCCCTTTCCATTCCTCTCTCTCTCAAAAAAAATAAAAATTAAAAAAATTAAAAAAAGTGTCTGTCTCACTTGCCGATATCACATTAGGATCAGTGTTGACAACTTAATAGGTGAAAATGGTTTATCATTTCAATTTGCATTGTTTGATTTATTAGCAAAGTAAAACAATGATGCAAGTCAGACTTTAGCTTTCTTCTAATCCTCTGCCTTCTAGGTCCACATGATCAAGCTTTGGTTTTATTCATCATGGGACTAGACTCTGACAGGCATATCTTTAAGTTCCTACAAACAATCCTTTGTCACAAATGCTTTCGTTAGCTGTGCAGAATTTATTGAAGATTTTCTAGGGGAGAGAGAGGAAGGGGTTCACATCACATACCTCACAACCTAAAGATCCCTATTAGTGATTTCTGTTCTCCCTGGAATCACCTCATCAGCTATCCTCTTCCTCCTCTCTGATTGCCTCTTCCCTACACCTTCCCTTTCCTCCACCTTCCTCATTCCTTCTCAAGTACAGTCACATAATTCTTCCCTTGGTCTCATATTAACAACACCATCCTCTTAGAAGCCTTTGTACCGACCAAATCAAGCCCAGGAGGCTTATCTTCCACTTGGGCATAGGCTAGCAAAGCATCTTCGCAGCAAAATTCTGTCTTTTGGTACATGGATTTCTCATTCCAGCTGCTAAGAAGTAGTATTCTCTATGACATTACAAAAAGTCTACAGGCAAACAACAGATTTGTGGTCAGACTTGTGTTCTAAGTAGATCACTATATGAGGTGTAGAGGATGGATTTGTGAGGGCAAGATTGGAGGCAGGTTCTCGCCCTGCCAAGCCGCTCCACTCAGGGTCCTCTCTGTAATGCCATTCAATTGCATCGGTTTCTTTAGAGAGGCACAGCCCTCCTCTTCCTTTCACCATGCCCAATCTGAAGGCCAGTTTCCTCTTGGTGCCACTCTCCAAGACTCTCCAGTTCATTCTTAGAGTCTCCTTTGACTTTGGAGGGAAGCCTCTTACTTGTGAACCCACTATTCACCACGCTACAAGGCCTAAGACTACACAACTTTCCCTTAGCACTCAGGTCCTTTGAATGAGGACTTTAAAAGGAGACAGGGTTGGAACTGGAGTGGAATTAGCTTTGATCTGCTATATATCCCGTGTGTGTGTGTGTGTGTGTGTGTGTGTGTATCTGTGATAATGACTGGTGTTCACTTTATAATGTGGGAAACTTCATTGACCCCTTCTCTTCAATTTTGGACTCAAGACACCAATTTGGGGGCAAAAGGAAATGTCCCATTCCAATCCTGTTAAGCATTTGCTGACCTCCTCTGCAAATGTGTGGCCTCCTGAATCCTACTGCTGAGCCTTCCTAGGAATTCTCAAATCTCAATTTTCACTCTTATTCACTGAGGCGTTGTCAGTAGGCCAGGCTTATCTATCAATTTGCTGTTGTGAAGCACAACTTTTTTAAAAGAGTTCTAAAAATGCAACATAATTAACAAAGTCATATCTTTGAATTTGAAAAATTATTAATTAAATTATGATTAATTAATAATAATTAAGCAGCTCTTTTTCACCTTCACCCCTACGTTTCATGAGAGAAGGAATGCTTTTTGAAGATGCTTAGATTGTACTGCCAAAAGTGGGAGGCACTGAGGCTATTTTAAACTAAATTGGAAAAGTTAAACACAGAATTACCACATGACCCAGCAATTCCTCTCCTAGATCTATACCCAAAAGAACTGAAAACAAACATTAAACAAATACTCCTACATGAATGTCATAGCAGCATTATTCATATTAGCAAAAAAGTAGAAACAATTCACATGTCCATCAACTTGTGAATGGATAAATAAAATGTGGTACGTCCATATAAAGACATTTATTATTCAGCCATAAAAGAGAATAGAAAGTACTGATATATGCTACAACATGGGTGAACCTAGAAAACATTGTTTAGCAAAAGAAGCCAGATAAAAGACCACAAATTATGATTCCATGAATAGGAAATGTCAAGCACAGGTACATCCATAGAGACAGAAAGCAGATTACTGGTTTCCAGGCATTGGGGGAGAGGGGAATGGGAGTAGCTACTAACTGGTTCAGAAAATTTCCTTTTGGGGTGATGAAAATGTTTTGTAATCAGACAGAAGTCATGGTTGCACAACATTGTGAATGTCTAACATGCTACCGAAGCCCTGGCCAGTGTGTTCAATGGTTAGAACGCTGGCCCAAGCACTGAAGGGTGGTGGGTTGGACCTGGTCAAGGGCATATACCAGGTTGCAAGTTCCATCCTCTGCCCCAGGGTGCATGGGGAAGGCAACCAATCAATGTTTCTCTCTCTCCCCCACTTCCACTCTCTCTAAAAAAACCAACACAACAAAATGCCACTGAGTAGCACACTTATTTTTTATTCCTCACCCAAGGATACTTTTCTATTTATCATCAGATAGAGTGGGAGGGAGAGAGAGAAAAACATCAATGTGATAGAGCCACCTGGACTGGTTTCCTCCCCAACGACCTGACCAGGGCTGGGGAGGAACCGTAACAGAGGTACCAGCCCTTGTCTGGAATCAAAGCCGCAACTCATTGGTCCGCTGGCCCACGATCTAACCTCTGAGCCAAACCGGCCAGGGATGAATAGCACACTTTTAAAGGGTTCATTTGATGTTATGTGAACTTAACTTCAATAAAAATACACTGAATTGGTGGCTTAAATATTAAAATGCAACGTGAATCTTTCGCACATTCATTTTACAAATCCGTGGAGAGTTACTTTGGCCCAGCAGTCTGAAAGGGGTTCCTGGCTGTTGGCTTTATAGCGTCGCTGGGCGGGAGGCCTCCCCAGGGGCTGGCTGGTATGCTTTCCCGAGGCGGGGAGCGACAGGGCGGGGCTTGACAGGGTAGGGCGGGGCCTGGGGCGGGGTCAGACGCGCAGCGTGACGCCCAACCGGAAGGGGGCGCGTTGGCGTCGGGCTTCGCCGGTTGCCGGGAGAACCCGTGACAACAAAAGGCGCGGACGGCGGCGGCCGCGGCGGCGAGTGGGAAGGAAACTGAGGAGTTCTGCGCTGCGCTCGCCGCCAGAGACCGGGACTTTCTCTCGCCGGTCAGTGTGCGGCAGGCGGGAGGACCGGGCCGGCGGAGCTGGGTGCGGTGCGGCGCGGCACCCTGCCATCCTCGCTTCTGCTGCGCCTCGGACCAGCCGTCGGGAGGGGAAAGCGCCTGCCGCACAAGGGCCGCCGCAGGTGGGCTGCGGGGGGCGGTTGGGGCGCTGGCGAGGCCGATGACGGCGCCCGAGGGGGTGCTGGGACCCCAGTCGAGCGGCCGGAGGAAGTTGGGTCCCCCTGAGAAGGGAGGGGGGAAATAGGGATGCGTGGGAGCGCGGGACCCAGCCGCCCTGAGGTGGCTCCTTGTGTATTTCTCGTGTTCGTACTTCTAACTGCGGGATCTGGAAGGCCCACCCCTTTGGGGGTTTCGTTTTGTCGCAGGCCGCCTCTTTTCCTTCGCGGATGTTGAAACTTCGTGCATTTTAAGTGTTATAGAAGTCCAAAGGCCCCTCCCTCAGAGGTAGTCGATAACGGATAATGACCAAATTTCTTCTTTGAAACACCTCTAAAATAACACCGTCTTCTTCAAGTTTTTAAATCTTGGATGTTTTCCCCTCTTTACTCCCTGTATGCTCTGTCTAGTTCTTTATGTATTTGGAGCCTTTTCTGAGATCCTTATGTGATTCACTATCCATTGCTGGGAAGTTTCTCGTGGAAATATTAACAAGCCAAAAGTTTTAAGACACCACTACTTCTGAAAAGCCAAGGGCACAGGATGGTAACAGTATTTGGAAACGCTTATTTGTGGTTAATGACATGGCACCGGTGAGGAAGTATTTCTCTTGCCGTTGCTCAGATTTCAAACTTGCATTGAGTATGCCTAAATATTAGTGCTCTGGATTTTTAAACAAATTCTTGTATATTATATATATATTTTTGCAAGTCAAATGTTTACGGGCCCTTGCCTTTGTAGCCAAATTCCTGTTATAAAAACCAAGAAAATGGGGGAGCATTTGAGATCATGCTTCTCGACATGTTGCCCGTTTTATTCAGATACATTTTTATAAAAGTTCTCCACAGGTTTGCACATTTCGTAGGTCTACAGTCCATTCCCCTCCTCAGTGGGAATGAGAAAAGTAAATGAAAGCAGAGGAGGAACTTTTACATCTCTAACCACTTTGAAAAATATTAATGGTGTTGCTATGTAAAGTTGAGAAATCATCAGAAGAAATTGTGGAAATAATGCAAAGTATTATACAGGCTTTGGAGGGCAGTAGAAAGCTTGAAAATCTCATTGGTATCTCCTGTGGATCATGTTTCTTGAAAAGAGAAATTCAGAAAACGGAAGAACTAATGACAAAAGTCACAAAACAAAAACTGTTTGAAAAGAAGAGTTCAGAACTTTCTAACAAAGAAGTTAGAACTTCCTCACCATTGATTTAAATCAACATCCTGTGTGAAACACAAGTATGCTATTACAAAAAATAAAACAGGAAGGCTACACCAGCCAGCCAAGATGCTGACATTTGGGCACCCTGATTACAGGTGGTGATAAGGACAGTGATGTTCCTGCTGATTAGGCAGTGATTCAAGGCTGCTTTTCTCTGCTGACCTGCCCTTTGAGTCTTTATGCACATTTACTTTGAGAAATACTTCTTGATTTTCCCTTTATCACACTGAGAAACATATACCTTCTTGAACCAGCCTGTGGTTGTCCCTGTCTAAAACCAGATTTTCTTTGTGTGTTTAGCTTGCATTGTTTTAAAATATGCCACCTCTTAGTTAATGTGCTTTATGTCTGTCTTATGAAATAAATATATTCATTAAAAATATATGTTGATGGCCCTGGCTGGTTTGGCTCAGCGGTTAGAGCGTCGGCCTGTGGTCCAGAGAGACCTGGGTTCGGTTCCCGCTAAGGGCACGTACCTCAGTTGCTGTTTGTCCCTGGCCCTGATTGGTTGTGTGGGTGGCAGCCACTCGATGTGTCCCTTTCACATCGATGTTTCTCTCTCTCTTTTCCTCTCTCTCCCTCCCACTTTATCTGAACAAAAAAATGGAAAAATGTCCTCTGGTGAGGATATATATATATTGATGGGGAAACAAACCTAAGAAAATGAAAATATCCCAATTACACTTAGCATTTTTTAAAAAAATTTCTCATACAAGGATACTTTTCTGTTTATCATCAGATAGAGTGGGAGGGAGAGAGAGAGAAAAACATCAATGTGATAGAGCCATATGGACTGTTTGCCTCCCCAACGACCTAACCAGGGCTGAGGATGAACTGAAACCGAGGTACAGTGCCGTTGACCGGAATCGAACCTGAGACTCACTGGTCCGTGGGCTGATGCTCTATCTGCCAAGCCAAACTGGCCAGGCACACTTAGCATTTTTTATTAGCAATTTCTTTGGAAGTACTTAGGCTTGGCTTAATATAGACCATGACTTATTTTAATGTGATGAAACTTCTAATGTAGGTGTTTAGAGACATTCGGAAGAACCAACTCAACACGACACCTCTATAATTTCTTTGGAAAAGTTTCCGGTACCAAATGCTTATAGAGTCCTTTAGGGTCCCAGAAAAGATTTACCATACATTTGAGTATTTATTTTTCAATGCTGAATTTTAGTAGAATGAATAAAACTGACAAGATTACATGCATCTCTTTAGCCATTAAAGATAGTTTGCTAACTCTGTTTTGGGATTTTATAGCCCAAGGGAGCTGATATATTTTTTTACTCTCTGTGGGCTCATAGTAGGGTGATGTAAATGTTTTTTGTTATTGTGATCCTTTTCAGACTATCCACTTGCAAAGTTATAATTACACAGTACTGCTGCAGATTTTCTTAAAGGCTAGTGAATATTAAAGACGTCTTAATTAACATTTCCATAGCAAGTAGTGCTGAAAATGTTACTTTAGTTCATTAGTCTATTAGGTCACTTAATGATATTGTTCAATACTTGCCTTCTCCCAGACTGATTATTTTTCATAATGTGCACTAAAGGTTATCATAGATTACTTGTTACATTTTTAAACTTTTTATCCTACCAAGATAATATTCGTATACCAGTTTTTTTTTAAAAAATATATTTTTTAATTGATTTTAGAGAGAGAGGAAGGGAGAGGGAGCGCAATAGAGACATCAATGAGAGAGAACATCGATTGGCCACCTCCTGCATGCCCCCCACTGGGGATTGGGCCCACAATCTGGGAATGTGCCCTGACAGGAAATCGAACCCGCAGCCTCTTGGTGCTTGACTTAACTAATGAGCCACACCAGCTGGGCCATGTACCAGTTTTTATGTGAACATATGAACATATGTTTTCATTTCTGTTGGGTATACACCTAAGAGTGCAGTTTCTGGGTCAAATGATAACTCTGTTTAACTGTTTTTTAAACTATACTTAATAAGTACTTATTTTCATTTAATAAAAATTTGCATACAATAAAATCCAGATTTTTAAAAAATGTACTCTCTGTTTAACTTTGTGAGGAACTGCGAGACTGTTTTCTAAAGCAGCTGCATCATTTTACATTCTCATCAAGCATGTATGATGGTTTTGTATTCTCTACATTCTTGCTAATGCTTATTATAATCTATCTTTTCTATTAGATTTGTATTAGTGGACGTGAAATAGTACCTCATTGTGGTTTTTGTTGTTGTTAATCCTCACTCAAGGATATTTTTTCCATTGATTTAAAAAAATTTTTTTTATCCTCACCCGAAGACATTTTTTTGTTTTTTTCCAGATAGAGTGGGAGGGAGAGAAAGGAGAGAAAGAGGGTGAGAGAGAAAGGGACACATCGAGTGGTTGCCTCCCATACAACCCCAACCAGGGCTGGGGACGAATCACAACCAAGGTATGTGCCCTTGGCCGGAATTGAACCCACGACTCATTGGTTTGCGGCCGATGCTCTAACTGCTGAGCCAAACCAGTCAGGGCCCATTGATTTTTAGAGAGAGTGGAAAGGAGGAGGAGAGAGAGGGAGAAAGAGAGAGAGAGAGAAAAACATCGACCGGGTCTGGGGATCCAACCTGCAACCCAGGCACATGCCCTTGATCAGGAATCGAACCTGTGACCCTTTGGTGCAAGGGCTGAAGCTCTAACCACCAAGCCACACCTGCCAGGGCTCATTGTGGTTTTGATTGCATTTCCCAAATAGCTAATGTTGCTGAGTGTCTTTGCCTCTGCTTATTGGCTATTTTAATTATTTTGAAGAACTGTCTTTTCATAACCTTTGCCTATTTTAAAATTGGGTTGTCTTTTTACTATTGAGTTGAATAGTAGTTCTTTTTATATTCCAGATACATTCCTTATTAGATATATGACTTGCAAATATTTTCTCCCATTCAGTGAGTTGTCTTTTCACTTCCTTAATGGTATCTTTTGAGGCATAAAACTTTTAGATTTGATTAAGTATATTTTATCTATTTTTTTTTTTTTATTGCTTATCGCTTTGCTTTTGGTGTTATATCTGAAAAACCATTTTCTTTTTTCTTTTTATTTTGGTACGTGCCCCTAGTGGGAATCGAAACCGGGACTCTGGTCCTCAGGCTGATGCTCCAACCACTGAGCCAAATGGCCAGGGCATCTTTTTTTTTTTTTAATTATTTTTTCTTTATTGATTTTAGAGAGAGCGGAAGGGAGAGGCAGAGGGAGATGGAAACATCGAAGAGAGAGGACATTAGTTGGGTGCCTCCTGCATGCCCCCACTGGGGATCAGGCCCACAACCTGGGCATGTGCCCTGACGGAATCAAACCGGCAATCTCTTGTTACATGGGTCGATGCTCAACCACTAAGCCACACTAGCCAGGCTGAAAAACCATTTTCAAATCTAAGGTTAGGAAGAGTTAACCCCATGTTTTCTCTCAAGACTTTTATAGTTTTAATCCTTACATTTAGGTCTGTGAACCATTTTTGAATGAACTTTTGTGTATGTGAAGTAGGAGAAGTAGGAGTCCAATTTCATTCTTATGAGCGTAGATATCCAGCTGTCCCATGATCATTTATTGAAAAGACTGTTTTTCCCCATTGACTTGTCTTAGTATGCTTGTTGAATATTACTTGCCTATAAACATGATAGTTTATTTCTGGATTCTCAATTATTTTCCATTGATCTTTAAGTCTGGCTTATTCCTGTACTACACTGTCTTGAAACTGTTGCTTAGTTTTAAAACTGGGGAAGTGTGTCCTCCATATTTGTTCTTTTTCACTATTGTTTATGTTATTCTGTGTCCTTTGAATATTTCCATATGAATTTTAGGATCGGCTTATCAACTTCTACAAAGCTGGGATTTTTTTTGGAGAGAGAGAGAAACATCAGTGAGAGAGAACACCTGTTGGCCACCTCCTGCATTCCCCAACTGGGGATTTGGCCCACAACCTTTGACCAGGAATCGAACTGGTAACCTCTTAGTGCATGGGTCAATGCTCAGCCACTGAGCCACACTGGCTGGGCGTCAGCTAGGATTTTGATAGGACTTGTGTTGAATCTTTAGATCAGTTTGGAGGATATTGCCATCTTAAATGTTGTCTTCCAGTCCATAAGCATGAGATGTTTTCCCATTTATTTAGATCTTCTTTCCTTTCTTTCAACAATATTTTGCAGTTTTCAAAGTATAATTTTTACACATCTTTCTTTCTTTCTTTGTTTATTTGTTTGTTTATTTATTTATTTATTTATTTATTTTTATGCTCACCTGAAGACATTTTTGCATTTATCTTCAGATAGAGTGGGAGGGAGAGAGGAAGGAAGAGAGAGAGAAACATCGATGTGAAAGAGACACATTGAGTAGTTGCCACCCACACAACCCCAACTGGGGCCAGGGACAAACTGCAGCCGAGGTAAGTGCCCTTAGCAGAAACCGAACCCAGGACTTTTCTGGTCCACAGGCCAATGCTCTAACCGCTGAGCAAAACTGTCCAGGGCACATCTTTAAAAAAATTATTCCTAAGTATTTTATTCTTTTGATGCTAATGTAAATGGAATTGTTTTCTTAATTTATTTTTTAGATTGTTCATTGTAAGTGTAGCTACCAGTTTAATTTTTAATGTATTAATTCTACTAGAGATTGTCACAAATAAGTAATAAAATGCCCAGCTGGAGTGGGTCAATTGGTTGACTGTCGTCCCATGCACCAAATGTTGCTGGTTTGATTCCCGGTCAGGGCACATACTTAGGTTTAGGGTTTGATCCCTGGAAGGCAACTGATCAATGTTTCCCTCTCACATTATGTTTCACTTTCTCTCTCTTTCTCTCTCTTTCTCTCTCTCTCTCTCAGAATGTCCTTGTGTGAGGATTGAAAAAAAAAAAAAAAAGTATAACATAATTTAGGAGAAGAAAAGCAGTTTTTCTGTTAGGCTTGATTGTTTTTTAATAAAATATGACTTTTCAATTTATGTTGACTGCCCAGCCAGTGGTTGAGCTCAGTGGTTGAGCATTGACCCCCTGGGTTGCAGGCTCCATCCCCAGTAGGGGCCGTGCAGGAGGAAGCTGATTGATGAGTCTCTCTCACATAGATGTTTCTATCTTTCTCCCCCTCTCCCTTCCTCTCTCTCTAAAATCAATAAAGGAAAAATTTTTTTAAAAAGATGTTTCTATTTCTTTCTCCTTTCCTCTCTCTCTAAAACTAAAAAAATATATAAAAAAATAAATTTATTTTGACTTCTGGCAATCCTTAAAATTATTTCATGTATTTATTTATAATATTTGTGGCAAAGAGAAGATGTTATTTTTCTATATATAGCTATAAAACCTAGTACAAGGATTTGCTTTTAACACGTGGGCAATCACCCACTTATTTCCTTGCCATAATTTTCTAATTCCCCAATTATTAAATATTAGATTAATGAACCGGGAAGCATATTATCATTATAGAAAGAAGGGCACAGTGGAATCGCATGTGCTTATCATTTAGTTCCATCATTTACCAACGCATGGTCTCCACCCCCTAGATTATTTTAAAACATATTCAGACATCATATTATTTCATCTATAAATTGTAGATGTACTTTTGTAAGACAGATTTACTCTTTGTAACTGTCTTATGTTGGAACAAAACCTGCTGTAATTGACTTTACTTTAGGCGATGATTTGTTTATTAGGATAGAGGAGTTAATAATTAAATTTTGTTTTTATTTTGATACACAGGAGTCCAGATCTTATGTAAAATGGATGGTTCTCACACTAGACACTGAATACCAAATAGAAAATATATTTAGCAAAATCTAAGCTGCCATGGAAGAAATACCAGTAAAAGTTGCTGTAAGAATTAGACCTCTGCTGTGCAAAGAAATTCTTCATAATCATCAAGTTTGTGTGAGAGTTATTCCAAATACCCAGCAAATTATCATTGGGAGAGATAGAGTCTTTACTTTTGATTTTGTTTTTGGCAAAAATTCCACTCAAGATGAAGTTTATAATACCTGCATAAAGCCACTAGTGCTGTCACTCATTGAAGGCTATAATGTAACTGTTTTTGCCTATGGACAAACTGGATCTGGGAAGACATACACCATCGGAGGAGGCCACGTTGGTAAGATTCTCATACTCTGACTTTTGAAACACTTGAAGGAAGCTAAAACATAACAGTACCTGACACATAGTAGTTGCTTAGCATATTGATTGAATGAAATGATGAATAGGATAATCAAATGTGCTCATATGTTATCTTTGAAACATTTGTTTTTAAATATTGACGTTTCATTAAACAATTTAATTGTATTTGTTTGAGAAAAGAAGTTTAAGATAATGTTCATTGTTCAGCCCTTTGACATTTTTTCTGTTTTATTGAACTAAATTTACATATAATATTGTATTAGTCCAAGGTATACAATATAATGATTTAATATATGTTTATATCACAAAATGATTACCACAGTTAACATCAATCACTGCACACAGTTCCAAAAGATTTTTCTTGTGATGAGAAATCTCAGCAACTTTTAAATATACATATATAGTAATGTTAACTACAGTCACTGTACTGTACATTATGTCCCCAGGACTTACTTATAACCGGAAATTTGTGGCTTTTGACAACCTTCGCCCCTTCCCCTCCCCCCACCTCTGGCAACCCTTGTCATATTGAACAGAATTTAGATTAGAGAGATATGAATTAACATCATCAGATTTTCATCTTTTTTTTCTTCAGATTTTACATCTTTTAATAGTCCACTTGTAAATATTAAGTCCTGTGAATAGGACTTAGAGAAAAGTAAGAGAAATGTATTATGTAGTTTAAAGTGTCTTTTTACATTTTCTAGCCAGATTTCAATATCAGCTTTATTGAGGTATAGTTGGCAAAATTTTATATATTTTAAGTGTACATTATGATGATTTGTACACTTCATGGTATATTGTGAAGGAATTCCTCCTAGTTGACGCATCCGTCACTACACACACAGATTTCTATTTTAAATACTGAATACTTTAGGATATAATTTCTCCTGCTTTTACTAGACTGGAGAAGGTGGTATTATAAAGTTTCCTTTAGAGCTGGAAGGAACATTGAAAATAATTTCTGTTTGTTTACAACTTGAGTTGCTCCAGCCACAGGATGCTGCAGGGCTTACTGAGGTAGGTGGCTGGTGACAGCTGGAATTGAAAGCCAGATTCTCTGTTGAGACAGTTTATTGTATTGGTGTTTTTATACTAAAAGCAAACTTTTGAATGTTGTATATATGAAGTTATCATTAGTAGTCTCTGTATGTGTAATGACCTTCCATATTTTTTCTCTGTTTTCATAGTCCTCAAATGTAGAATGTGTGACTTTCAGAAACATCTCTCATTAAGTGCAGGGATGCGCGGGTAGGTTTGGAGGGTGACTGTGGTTTGAGGAAAATTAAATGGAAGAGACTTTAGTGCCCAGTGCTACTGCCCTCCTCAATTTTTTATTACTTTTTTTTATTATTATTTTTATCCTCACCCAAAGACATTTTTCAATATTTTGTTCAGATAGAGTGGGAGGGATATATATATATATATAGAGAGAGAGAAACATTGACGTGAAAGGGACACATCAAGTGGCTGCCTCCTACATGACCCAACCAGGACCGGGGACAAACTGCAACCAAGGTACGTGCCCTTAGCGGAAATCGAACCCGGGTCTCTCTGGACCGCAAGCCGCCGCTCTAACCGCTGAGCCAAACTGGCCAGGGCTATACATAATTAGGAGGTTGTTTTTTTTTTAATCCTCATCCGAGGACATTTTTCCATTTTTTGTACAGACAGAGTGGGAGGGAGAGAGAGGAAGAGAGAGCGAGGGAAACATCGATGTGAAAGGGACACATCGAGTGGCTGCCACCCACACGACCAACCAGGGCCGGGGACAAACCGCAACCGAGGTACATACACTTAGCGGGAACCGAACCCGGGCCTCTCTGGACCGCAGGTGGACGCTCTAACCGCTGAGCCAAACCGGCCAGGGCCATAATTAGGAGTTTTAAGATACTAGATAATTTTAGGGTTTCACTATAAAATAAATTTCAGGTTTTCTACTATTGTGGCTTTTCTTGAAGATTGTAGGTTTTTTTTTGATTGGCCAATGTTTTATGACCTTAAAGTCTCAATATGTGCTTTATTCTAATAGGAGTATAATAAAATGTTCAGATCTTGGTGGCAATAATAATTACACTGATTTTTTTAATAATAAACATTTTTTTTTCTCTTTATTGATTTTAGAGAAAGGAAGGGAGAAGGAGAGAGAGATCAAAACATCGATGAGAGAGAACATCGATTGGCTGCCTCCTGCATGCCCACACTGGGGATCTAGCCCGTAACCTGGGCATGTACCCTGACCGGGAATCTAACCGGAACCTCGTAGTCCATGGGATGATGAACTACAGCAACTGGGCTTATATTGTTTTTAATAAGAGGCCATGAGTATAATTTTAATTCTTTAAGGGAAAAAGTTATCTATTGTCCTAAAATACTTTAAGTACTCTAAGGTACTCTGTACCAGAGAAATAGAAACAATTTTTGATGGTGTTCATTTCCCCCTAGTTTTTTAAAAAAAAATTAATGTTCATTGTAAAAACAATTGCCAAGTGATACTTAAGAAATTAAACAAATGAATGTTCCTCTCATCCCCAGGAAGTAACAGTTTGATGTGTACCATTCTAGAGCACTCTAGACATTTTTCTAGACACATTACGAGTACACATGTAGTTTTTGTTTCTCTTTTTTGTTTATTTAGTGGGATATTATACCTGTGATTCCGTAGCTTTCTTTTTACATTTAACAATATAAAATGTCATTTTATTTCTTCCCATTTGGGCCATAGAATTTCACCTTAATTTTTTGGCTGTATAGTATTTTATAGTTTGAATGGATGGATCATGGTTTATCCATTCTCGTATTAATGGACATTTAGGTTGTTTTGATTTTTACTTAAAAAAGAAGTTGCAGTACATATCTTTGTACATTTAACTTTCTATTCATGCATTAGTATTTCTGTAGAATAGATTCCTAGAAGTGGATTTGGTGAATCAAAAGTCATGCACATTTAAAATGTGGATAGATACTGACAAATTACCCTCCAAAAAGGCTTGTACTAGTTTATATGTATTCCCACCACCAGTATATGAAAGCCATTTGTTCATATCCTTATCACATACTGGATATTATAAATCAAAAGTGTTTTATTTTTACCATCTGATAAGTGAAAAATTGTGTTTTGTTTGAAGTTATACTTCTTGGTGTATTAGTGAAATAGTGAGCATTTTGATTTCCCAGACTGACACCAATTCTGGGTTATTTGTCTGCTGTTTGATTATTGGCCATGAAAATCACATTGTTCCCCCCTTCCCCAATAAATAATTTATTGAGCATTTGCAGTGTCTAGGGTACCATGTTAGGTACTATGGCAGAATGAAGATATCTTATTTTTAAAAAATATGATGCTTATTTAAACTAATATTAATTTTTCTACTTTTCAGAACCTTGGTTGTACTGGCTTTTGCCAGGCTTAAATTTCTCTAAAAAAATTGTTTTTCCCTGTATTCTTTAAATAGTATATAATAGCTAAATGATGGCTGTTGAGGTATAAAACTTTATAAGTTCTATGAAATTGTTTATTTCAAAAAGAAAAATATAGCCCTAGCCAGTTTGGCTCAGCGGTTAGAGCGTAGGCCTACGGTCCAGAGAGACCTAGGTTCGGTTCCTGCTAAGGGCACGTACCTCGGTTGCAGTTTGTCCCCAGCCCTGGTTGGATTGTGTGGGTGGCAGCCACTTGATGTATCCCTTTCACGGAGATGTCCTCCCCTACCCCCGCTCTATCTGAACAAAAAAATGGAAAAATGTCCTCCTGTGAGGATAAAAAAATAAAAAGAAACATATAATAAAATATGCAAAAAGAGAAATATTTTACTTCAGGAATATAAGCCTAGCATTGAAATGTGTTTTTTAGGTTACCAAAATGCATGTTGAAACTTTATTATAAATATTATTTGAAATTGAGCTTTTTGATAAATATTTTGAATTATTTTGCTTTTTTGTTATCTGTTGAAGTGGAGAAAGGCCAACTATATGTACTGGACAATCAAGAATGCTTATATATGCTATAGTTTATAGATATTGCTATTGGCTTGTTCCTGGAAACTCAAAAAGGAATCTTCACTTTCTCCGTTGTATTGGAAAACCTACGGCTTCCTTTGCTTGCCACACGATGGCAGTATTGCATCTTAAATTAGGTGAAAGGCAATCCAGTTTAATAGAAGTTCAGATTTTCAGGATGACTTGCCAAAAATCTTAACATTGGTAATCTTCAACTTGGAAACAACTTGGTTTTAAGGTTCATTTATGAGCCATCATTTTGTAGCTTGGAATATATTTTCCATGAAACAATGCTGAAAATGGTAGGCAGTTTTCTTTCTTTCTTTTTTTCTTTTATTCTCATCCGAGGACATTTTTTTTTAATTTATCTTCAGATAGAGCAGGAGGCAGAGAGGCGGGAAGAGAGAGAGAGAAACATCAATGTGAGAGAGATCGACTGGTTGCCACCCACATGACTCCAACTGGGGCCGGGGACAAACTGCAACCGAGGTACGTGACCTTAGCGGGAATTGAACCTGGGACTCTCCAGTCCGCAGGTGGACGCTCTAACTGCTGAGCCAAACCGGCCAGGGCGCAGCGTTTGTTTCTTTAAAAAAAATTTTTTTTAATTGATTTTAGAGAGAAAGGGAGAAAGAGATAGAAATATCGATGAGAGAGAACATTGATTGGCCACCTTCCACATGCCCCTCACTGGGGATTTGGCCCACAACCTGGGCATGTGCCCTGACCTGGAATCGAATTGGTGACCTCTTGGTGCAGGGTTGACGCTCAACCACTGAGCTACACCAGCCAGGCAGTAGGCAGGTTTGTTTCTAAATTGGCCTACAGAAACTTATTTAACCTTAAGTTCCAATTCATTCTTTCATTTACTTTAAATTTTATCTTGTACTTTTTTTTCCATTATTTAAAAAATGTGGTAAATATGTATATATAACATAAAGTTAACTATTTTAAGAGTACAGTTCTGACATTAAATTCACAGTGTTTTGCAACCATCACCGCTTTTTTGCAGCACCCCAAATAGAAACTTTGTACCCATTAAGAAATAACTCCCCTCCCCCACCCCCTGTAACCTCTAATTTAATTTCTTTCTCTATGAATTTTTATCTTCTAGATAGTTCTTACAAGTGGAGCCATGCAGTATTTGTCCTCCTGTATCTGGATTCTTTCACTTAGCATAATGTTTTCAAGGGCATCCTCCTATAGCATGTATCAGAACTTTATTCCTTTTTATGACTGAATAATATACCATTTTATCTATATGTCATATTTTGTTTATCCATTCCTCTGTTGGGGGCACTTGAATTGTTTCTTCCTTTTGGCTATTGTGTATAATGCTGCTATGGACATTGGTATATAAATATCTGAGTCCCTTGTATGCATTTTTGTTCACTCATAGTGTTATTGTACTGATTTGTGTCCTGGGTTGTAGAAATGATGGAAGAGAAGAGGTATATAGAGTCCTTTGACTCTGCTTTTTCCCCTGATCTGATCCAGTGTCATGACATTAAATACTCTCTATATGTAGCTGACTTTCAATTTTATCTCCAGTCCAGACTACTGTCTTGAACTCTGGACTTATATGTCCAACTGCCTGTTTAGTCTTTGCAACTGGATACTAAAACATCTGTCTCAGTTGGATGCTAACAGATGTCTCAAGCTTAATTGATCAAAAAATGAACTTCTGTGCCCGGCCATTGTAGCTCAGTGGTTGAGTGTCGACCCATGCACCAAGGGGTCACCAGTTAGATTCCAGGTCAGGGCACATGCCCAGGTTGTGGGCCCAATCCCCAGTGGGGAGCATGCAGGAGGCGGCCAGTCGATGTTCTCTCTCATCGATGTTTTGATCTCTCTCTCCTTCTCCCTTCCTTTCTCTAAAATCAATAAAGAAGAAAAAAAATGTTTCTATTTCCCTCCCCCTCTCTCTCTAAAAAATCAATAAAGAAAAAAAAAATTTAAAAAAATGAACTTCTGCCATTTTCCCTTCAAACCAATTCAATCCCCACTCTTCCCTTATCATTTTTTATTTTTATCCTCACTTGAGGACATTTTTGCATTTATCTTGAGGTAGAGCGGGAGGGAGAGAGGAAGGGAGAGAGAGAAACATTGATGTGAGAGAGACACATCGAGTGGCTGCCACCCACACAACCCCAACCGGGGCCAGGGACGAACCACAGCTGAGGTACATGCCCTTAGCGGGAACCGAACCTGGGACTCTCTGGTCTGTGGGCCGACGTTCCAACTGCTGAGCCAAACCGGCCAGGGCTTCCTCTTATCATTTGATGGCAACTCTAGTGGCTCAAGACAAAACTTTGGAGTCATTCTTGACTCATTGCTTTCCCTCACATCTCATATCCAGTCTGTCAGGGAATCTTAATCGTGCTCCCTTCAACATGATTCCAGAATCAGGTCACGTCTTACCTTTTCTCTGCTACCATCCTTCTGTGAGCTACCACCTGTCTACTCTCCAACCTTCTTGACTCTCTGATTACTGCACCGCCTTCTAAGTGGTTTCCCCTCACTCACTCCTGCCTTTCTGTGATATTTAAATCCCAATTTACTGCTGTCCTTCAGTACTCTCTCCTCATGCAGAATAAAACCCAGAGTCTTCTGTGGTCTACAAGGAATTATATGTTCTGGCTTTTGTCACCTCTCTGACCTCATCCCCTGTCACTCTCTTCTTGTTGTTTCTGCTTCGGCTACACTGGCCTTCTGGTTTATGGGTCACAGCAGTTTAGGGTCTTTGTACTGGCTGTTCTCTTTGCTTGGGTTACTCTTCCCTCAGATACCCACATGATTCCTCTGTCACCTCTTTCAAATCTTTGCTCAGATGTCAGCTTTTCAATGATGCCATCATGACTTTCCTACTTAAAGTTGCAAACACCTTCCACCTAAATACACTCATACTTCCATTGCCTCTTACCCTGCCCTGTTTTTTTTATTTGGGCATACCTATCACTTTTAATATACCATTTAATCCACTTATCAGTTATTCTTTTTTTTGCTATTGTCTGTCTTTCCTCAGTACAGTCCCACAAGGGCAGGAATATTTTTCTTCTGTTTTGTTCAGTAATGGTTCTCAGGGTCCCAGAATATAGCCTGGCACATAGAAGATACTAAATAAATATTTGTTGGATGAATGCATTTTGAATAAGGGCATGCATGTGAAAACTTTTAACTATGATTTTGTAGTTATGGTTTAAAATATTTATAATATAGAGAATTGTAAAGAAATACATTATTGATTGTCAATTTTATGTTGTAGCTTTTCTTATATTTTAAGTTTCATATATGCTTTTTTTCTAAATTTTCAGCTTCAGTTGTGGAGGGTCAAAAGGGTATCATTCCTCGAGCTATCCAAGAAATATTTCAGAACATCTCTGAAAATCCTAGCACTGACTTTAAAATAAAAGTGTCTTATATAGAAGTATATAAGGAAGACTTAAGAGATCTTCTAGAATTGGAGACATCTATGAAGGATCTTCACATCCGAGAAGATGAAAAAGGAAACACAGGTAAAGTAGCCTCTTACTTGATAGCCTTCTTTAGCAAATAGGTATGATTTAATTCAGTTTCTGGATACATTCCAAAGAAGCTTAAAAACACATAGAAGCAAAATGAATTTGTTTTTACTTTAAAATTGAATAGCTTATTGATTAACAATATCAGTTAAATTGTCCAGGTGAAAAGTATAAGTTCAGCTGGTGGGTAAGATGAAGTTATTAAATTATAATTCAACATAGTACTTATTTCCTATAATTGCCCCGCCTCAACTTAAGTGAGACTGAAAATAGTCTAAATTAATTTTTGCACTTATTTTCTCTCAGTTAGCCTAAGATTGGAGATGGCTTCTCCCTTTGGTGTTCAGTCAATTTGATCCAGAACTCTCCTTTCTTCTTTGATTTTTGTCCCAGTACACCTATTGCTTCCCTTTTGTTTTTTAGTGTAGAGAGTTATACTAGTGTAGAGTGTGTTTGCTTCTCTATATTGACATTTACTGGTCCTTTGTTGAGCTTCTCTAGGTCTGACTTTCTGTGCTTAGCACCCATTAATCTCATTAAATATCCATTTGTTTGGAAATGGAAGAAGGTTAGAAGGGGAGGGTTAAAATGCAAGTTTTTTAGAGAATAATACTTTCTGCTTTTCTGATTTGAAAGGTAACATGTTCATCATAGAATATTTTGAAAATATAGAAAAGCATAAAGAAGACAATAAAAGATCATCTTTGATCCCAGAACCCAGAAATTGCAATTTCTCATATTGGTGTATTTTCTTCCAGACTTCATTTTCTATGCATGTGTAATGTTTTTTAATGTACTTGTGACCCCCCCGCATATAGTATTGTATCTTATTTTTTCACTTAATATTTATATTGTGAACATTTTCACATAGCATTAAATAGTTTTCAACCTTGTGACTCTTTGTGGTCATGGTAATTTGTCTTCTGGATGTATTATAATAATTTATTTAACTACTATTCCATTATTGGACATTTAGGCTGTTTCAAAGTTTTCACTATTATTAATAACTAACAACTATTCTTGGATGTCTTCCTCTCCTAGAAAACACATTTAATAGAACCTTCCAGGAGATAAAGGGTCCTGCCAGAGAAATGATTCATTGGGGGAATTTCCTAGCAGCTAGGAAAGTAAGATGGCTATTATCATTCGAACAGAAGCCTACAGGGGGCAGTAAAGCCCACCTCCTTATAGGCCCTGTCCTGGCAACCCTGGCATTCCTGGATGTTTGAAGAAAATTGTTTTTTGTTTTGTTTTTTAGAAAGCATACATAGTAATTTATGAAATTATTAGATAATTCAATATAGTTTATTTTTTCTGGGCAAAATTCAGACTGGTGTTTTGAGCTTCTGTATCTTATGAAATATAATTACTGAATGTTTTTATCTTTTATTAAAAATTATAAAAATAATACATTTATTCTAAAATCATCTTACAATACAGAAGTGTACATTGTCACTCCTGATAACCTTAATGATCAAAACATTCTATGACTGATACCAGTCCTGCGAAAATGTTGGGAGGATGTAACAATTTGTCTTGAAACAAATTGCCATATGTCTTATATAATGTCCTACTCACAATCAAATCCATTTGTTTGGCATATTTATTTAGTTTCTTTGTGTGAGCAGCTGTTGGTATCCTACCTGGATGGTGCACAATTAGCATCACCTTTGAAGCTTTTAAAAAATTACTGGTTTCTGGGCCTACTTGTCAGAGATTCTGATGAATTAGTCTGGGATGGGGCCTGGGCATTGGTACTCTCTTTTTTTATAAAGCTTCAGGCGATTTGCAGCTGGATTTGACAATCATAGATAGTACTAAGCTGTACCCTAACATTAGAAAAATATTTGCTATGATTTAGTTACATTTTCATATATTATAATTGCTGATATTTTAGCACTGTCTATAGTACAGGCATTATAGAACTTCAAATGAACCAGGTTGTTAAAAAAAAGGTGTCATAATGGAAATAATGTAAGCCAAATGATTATTTTTCAAAGAAACAGTAGCCTGACAGGATCTGATTAAAAAAGGAAATACAGCACTCTAATTTGAGCCCAGAATTAGGAGCTTTACTGCTTTGATTCAAAGCCAAAATCTACCTACTCCTTTTTGAAATATTTTTGGATATAAGCAAATAATGTGGGTAATAGTAAACTGAGGTTATTTTTTGGTTCTTATTCTGCTGTTGAAACAGAATATTTCTGCTTGTTTTGAATTGCCATCTTATTTGTTTACCTTGCACTCTGATATTATGTAGGGCATACCTGTTTCTAAAATGAATAACTTTATTTATACTGAAGTTTTCATCTATCATTGGTTGACTCCACATATAGAAAAACCTTAAACCTAAGGAGAGCTTGAATAGTAACAACTCTAGAGAAATTATTTATTTATTATATATTAATATCCCAAGGATATTTTTCCATTGATTTTTAGATAGAGTGGAAGGGAGGGAGGGGGAGAGGGAGAGAGAGACACACACATTGATTGGTTACAAGATAAATTATTTTTAAACAATGAATCTATTACTGGTTAATTCTTTTGAATTATATATTTAATTAATATACTATCTTTTAATTAATCCATTAGATTCTACAAATCAAATACTGGAATAAAGAGTTTTTCTTTTGTCATCTACTTTAAAGAATTGAGCATGATGTGTGACTGCAAAGAAACCATATTGTTAAAAATATATATACAGTATGATATCTTTTAGAATTTAAACATCAAAATGTTCCTTGTAAAATATTCCTTTGGGAGATTATCTAAAATTATTTAATGTTGCTGCTATTACTATTATTTGAAATAATATTGGTTTTTTTCCTTATTGTTTAGAGAGAGAGAAAAGGAAAGGGAGAGAGAGATGGAAACATTGATGAAAAGGAACCTCAATTGGCTGCCTTCTGCACACCTCTCACTGGGAATGTGGCCCATAACCCAGGCATGTGCCCTGACCAGAACCGAATCAGTGACCTCCTGGTGCATGGGTCGACGCGCAACCACTGAGCCACACCAGCCAGGCAGAAATACTATTGATTTTTTTAAAGGGACTGTCTTAGCTGGGCAGTCTAGCAAATGATAACTGTTGTATGGTTAATTTAACTACACTGGATTTTAATTAAAACTTGATTTTAAAACTTGTTGTTTAAGTGATTGTTGGGGCCAAGGAATGCCAGGTGGAGAGTGCAGATGAAGTGATGAGCCTCCTGGAGATGGGGAATGCAGCCAGGCATACAGGTACCACCCAAATGAATGAACACTCCAGTAGATCACATGCAATTTTTACAATCAGCATTTGTCAAGTTGAAAAAAATACAGAGGCAGCTGAAGATGGATCATGGTGTTCCCGTCGACATATTGTCTCAAAGTTCCACTTTGTGGATTTGGCTGGATCAGAAAGAGTAATGAAAACAGGGAATACTGGCGAACGATTCAAAGAATCCATTCAGATCAACAGTGGGTTGCTGGCTTTAGGAAATGTAATAAGTGCTCTTGGGGACCCACGCAGGAAGAGTTCACATATTCCATATAGGGATGCTAAAATTACCCGGCTTCTGAAAGATTCCCTGGGAGGCAGTGCCAAGACTGTCATGATCACTTGTGTCAGCCCATCTTCCTTGAATTTTGACGAATCCTTAAATTCTCTCAAATATGCCAACAGAGCACGCAACATCAGAAACAAACCCATCTTGAACTTCAGCCCTGAGTCAGACCGAATGGATGAAATGGAATTTGAGATTAAGTTGCTTCGAGAAGCTTTGCAAAGCCAGCAGGCCAGTAGTATGAGCCAAACCAGCCAGATCCATCGAGAGGAGACTCCTGATAACAGGATCCTTTTTCTTGAGGAGCAAGTAGCTCAGCTCCAAGGAGAATGTCTGGGTTACCAAAATTGTATAGAGGAAGCCTTCACCCTCCTGGTAGAGTTAAAAGATGCTGTCAGACTAAACCAAAAGCAGCAACACAAACTGCAGGAGTGGTTTAACATGACCCAGGAAGTCAGGAAGTCGATTCTCACCTCATTCAGAGGAAGCCGAGGCATTGGAAACCTGGAAGAAGGACCACAGCATATTACAGTTATCCAACTGAAGCGAGAGCTGAAGAAATGCCAGGTACGTAGACACTGCTTTTATAAAATAACTTGTTTAAGGACAAATTTATTTGTGGCAAATAAGAGTCATTGTAGAACTTCAGAAACATTTTAAAAGGCTTATATATAAAATCTCATTTGTCTTTGCTTTGTTTTTCCCTTTTCCTATTCTTTCTCCTCATAATTCATACCTTTCTTGCCTCCTCTTTTTCCCCCCTGTAAAATCTATGTTAGTTTGTTACATTTATTAAATACAATCTGTGGACTTGGTCATTAAATTTAAAGGATGAAAAGAAACACAGTTTCAGAAACAAAATTAAATTATACTTTACTGAGTTTTGTCTCTCTATGGATCAGTGGTTCTTGAAAGAAAATAATACTTTATCCCTTGAGTTTGGAGTAGTGATTTTTTTAAAAACAAACAAAATAATCATATTTGCTACTATTTAAGAAATGTAGGTATATACATGTATAAGTTACATGTATTGCAGTTATGTATATTGAGTTCAGAATTACATTTCCCCACATTTCACAATCCAGTCAGAGAAAGACAAATATCACATGATCTCACTTATTTGTGGAATATAATGAACAAAACAAACTGATGAACAAAATAGACCCAGAGACACAGTGGTAGGGTACAGACTGACAAACCTCAGAAGAGGTCTTTGGAGGGCAGGGGGGAGGGCAGAGATAAACCATAGAACTTATATGCATGTATGCATACCCATGGACATAGACAACAATGCTGGGGATGGGGCGGGGGGTGAGGATCAGGAGGAGGGTGTCAATGAAGGAAAAAGGAGAAACATCTGTAACAAAAATAAATTAAACAAAAACATGTAGGGTTACTTTCTACAAATTTTTATACGTATCCATTACGTAGATTTGAATAAAAACAAAACATTATGTAAAAAATATTAAAAAACATTTATTGAGTAAAGATTATGTGTCACGGGAGAAGTAAAGAGCAAGACATACCTAGTTCTATTTATGTGGAATTTGCAGTTTGGTGGGCACATAGATGTTCTACCAGTTTTTGTTGTTGTTTTTTAATATGTTCTTACTGATTTTTTTAGAGAGGAAGGGCAAGAGAGATAGAAACATCAATGTGAGAGAGAAACATCGATTGGCTGCCTTCTGCATGCTGCTTACATGCAACCCGGGCATGTGCCCTGACCAGGAATGGAACCAGGACCTCTCAGTCCATGGGACGATGCTCAATCCACTGAGCCATACTGGCCGGGCCTTTTAAAATAGGAAAACATAGTTACAAGTAGAAAAATAGTTTAAAACATAGCTGTCTAGTTAGAAATTTTTTCCTCAGTACCTTTTTATACGTATTAGAAAACAGCTAGTTGTGCTGTTGTTTACTATAGCAGTCATTGACATTTTTGTTCACAGGTTTCTGTTTTATTATTATTATTTTTTTTATTTTAGGGAGGAAGGGAGAGAGAGAGAGAGAAACATCATTGTGAAAGAGATACATTGATTGGTTGCCTCCCATATGCTCCCCGACTGAGGATCAAATCCTCAATCTAGGTACATGCCCTGACTGGGAAACGAACCCGTGATCCTTGGTGTACAGGATGAAGCTCCGACCATTTGAGCCAGGGCTGTTCACAGGTTTTCTTTTTTTTCAATCCTCACCCGAGGACATTTTTTTCATTTTTTTTTTTTTTTATCCTCACCCGAGGATATTTTTCCATTTTTTGTACAGATAGAGTGGGAGGGAGAGAGAGGAAGGAGAGAGAGAGAGAAACATCGACGTGAAGGGACACATCGAGTGGCTGCCACCTGCACGACCAACCAGGGCCGGGGACAAACTGCAACCGAAGTACGTGCCCTTAGCGGGAACCGAACCCGGGTCTCTCTGGACCGCAGGCCGACGCTCTAACCGCTGAGCCAAACTGGCCAGGGCCATTTTTTTCATTTTTTGTTCAGATAGAGCGGGAGGGGGAGGGAGGGAGAGAGAGAGAGAGAGAGAGAGACATCAATGTGAAAGGGACACATTGAGTGGCTGCCACCCGCATGACCCAACCAGGGCCAGAGACAAACTGCAACTGAGGTACATGCCCTTAGTGGGAACCGAACCCGGGTCTCTCTGGACCGCAGGCTGACGCTCTAACTGCTGAACCAAACCGGCCAGGGCAGGTTTCTTAAAGTTGAGTTCCCCCATTATATCTATTGATATTTAACATATTAGAATTAAAACAAAAATTTTAATTATTAATTTATTTAAAACTAACAATAATTCATTATATGGTAATATACAGAATATTTTTCATGAACAATATTTTCAGAAACAAATTAATTCTGCACATGTCTTTAATATCTAGCTTAATAGAAGACAGGTGGTTTTTCATATCTGCTTCAGTAGTCAACTTGTTGCAATATGTTGTTTTAGTTGAAAGATATGAAAAAATCTGGCCTCATATAGATTTAGTGGGAAGGAGAGAATATTTAATAACTTTTTAAAATAATTGTGGATGGTGTTTGAAATTACACCAAAATTCAACAAGTAGAAATCTCCTAAAGTTTACCTGCAATGTCAGATTTGAAAATATTTTGTTATATTAAGATCTATACATTAAAATTTATTGGTCCCTTTCTATCTTGTTTTTTTTAATCCTCACCCGAGGATATTTTCCTATTTATCTTCAGACAGAGTAGGAGGGAGAGAGAGAGAGAAAGAGAGAGAGAGAGAAAAACATCGATGTGAGAGGGACACATTGACTGGTTGCCTCCTGCGTGACCCTGATCAGGGCTGGGGACGAACCGCAGCTGAGGTACGGTTCCTTGGCCAGAATTGAACCCCCGACTCATTGGTCCACAGGCTGATGCTCTACTGCTGAGCCAAACCCGCCAGGGTTTATCTTGTACTTTGAATGGATCTTTTAACCACATGCATTGGTCATTTGAAAAATATTTGTGTACTAAGTTATGCAGACATTCTAGATGTTGACATTTCTTTATACAATATAAAAAAATCACATTCATTACTATCACTACTGATCTCACCACCAGTCTTGAAGTATTAGAAGCTGTCGTCATGCTTACAGTAACAGAAATGTTTTCCAAAATTCTAATTTTTACATGAAAGTCAAGTTTTGTCATTAGCAACAAATACTGTTGTTTTCCTAGAAAGTGATGGTTCTCAATTTTGAGAAAATATCTGCCATACACCCAAGTGTGAATAACTAGTTATCTGTTATTCTTAGAGTAAAAACAGTACCTTATGAAAAAAGTATCATTTAGCTTGCGACTCAATTACACAAGGTTTGTCTATCACAGACTGATATTGCCCTTCGGTATGCTGCAGCACTGCTTTGTGCATACCTCCCATTTTGTCTTGTAGAATACTAAAAACAAACAAAAAAAACCACGCAAAGGTTGAGATTTAATAAAATGATTTTATTGCTTTGGCCCGTTTGGTTCAGCGGTTAAAGTGTCAGCCTGCGGACCAAAGAGTCCTGGGTTCAATTCCAGCCAAGGGTACATACCTCAATTGTAGATTGTCCCCAGCGCCTCCGTTGGGGTTGTGCAGGTGGCAACCAATCAATGTGTCTCTCATATCGATGTTTCTCTCTCTCCCTCTTTCTGTTTCTCTCCCTACCACTCTTTCTGAAGATAAATGTAAAAATATCCTCAGGTGGCCCTGGCCAGTTTGGCTCAGTGGTTAGAGTATTGGCCTGTGGACCAGGGAGTCCTGGATTTGATTCTGGCCAAGGGCATGTACCTCAGTTGTGGTTCGTCCCCGGCCCTGGTTGGCGTTGTGCAGGTTACAACCAATCAATGTGTCTCTCACGTCAGTGTTTCTCTCTCTTTCTCGTTCTCTCTCCCTCCCACTCTATCTAAAGATAAATGTAAAAATATCATTGGATGAGGATTAAAAAAATTTTTTTTTATCTTCATCAAGATATATACTTTTTTAAATATGTTTTTATAGATTTTTCATCTTCTTTTTTAGAGAGAGAGAGGAAGGGGGAGAGAGAAACATTAATGTGAGAGAGATAAACATCGATTGGCTGCCTCCTGCATGCCTCCTATTGGGGATCCAGCCTGTAATGTGGGCAAGTGCCCTGACCAGGAAGCGAACTGGGACCTCTCAGTCCATGATACGATGCTCAGTCCACTGAGCCAGCTGGGAAAGATATTCTCAAGTAAAACTGTTATTTGTATTGTGAGCACATGGCAGTGAAGAATATAGTGACTAGTAGTACAGTATGGTGATTTCTTTTATTGCTAGGGTCGATAGCGTTAGCCGCCATTGCTTTTGTACTATAAGTGCAAATGTCATCTTAGTATTATTAGGAAAATAGTTTTGAACTCACGGGCACCCTGAAAGGATCTAAAGGGGTTACTGAAAGGGTCTCTACTTCATACACTCTGAGAACTGCTGCTCTATTACAAAGCTTTTGATATTTTACTATAAGCATTTGAAGCAATACTTTAAAAATCAAAGATTTAAAAAACCCGAGAATCGAACCAGGACCTCCCAGTCCATGGGACGATGCTCAGCCCACTGAGCCACATGGCCAGTTAAATCCTCACCCAAGGACATTTTCCAAATACCATCAGGAGGAGGGGAGAGAAAGAGAAACATCAATGTGAGAGAGAGATATTGATTGGCTGCCTCCCGCATGACTCTGACCAGGGCCAGGGATGAACCACAACCAAGGTATGTGCCCTTGGCTGGAATCAAATCCGATACTCTCTGGTCCTCGGGCTGAAGCTCTAATTGCTGAGCCAAACCGGCCAGGGCAGGATTTATTTATTTTTTTAAGACAATACTTCTGCCATGTTTTTTCCCCCAGATAGAGCAGGCCTGATCCTTTCTCACTGGTATAGGAAACTGGTGTACAGGTAAATGGAAGCTCAAACTTTGGGACACCTAAGAGCTGATGATAGGAAGTGTTTTTTTCTTCATGGTTCTAGAGTGGCTGAAATTGAAAGTACATAAACCCACTCCTTGGGTGTGGGGTGGGTAGTACTTACTCTCTCCATCTGTTGGAAACTATA